AACAAAAAAAAAAAAAAAAAAAAAAAAAAAAAAAAAAATCACTTGTACTGAAGTATATGGTACTAAGAACCATTAATATGTAATTGTTTACATCAGCCTTGTTTCCTTCATAGTTCATGCTGCTATAACAGGAAGACAAAGGCTAAGTGCAGATTAAAAAATAGAAATGATTTTCTCACAGTTCTGTAGGATAGGAAGGACATCCAGATCCCTGTGTCTGGGGAGGATGCACTTCCTGGTTTGCTGTCTGTCTTCTGCATGTGTCTTGTAGCAAAGAAGAAACAGAGATCATATCACCACTGTCTCTTTTACAAGAATATGCATACTATACCTAAGGAAAGCTACACTCACAATCCAGTCACATCCTGACGAAGCTTGTCTCCAAACACCATCCAGACATTGCCAAGTGACTCTAAACAACAGCTGGTGGTGACAACACAGGTTGCCACTCCACAGCAACTCCCCTTGTACACTTCCTGCAGACAATGGTCTCACTTGCAGTCAGAAACCAGAGATGTCTGATCTCCTGGTGCTGGAGTCACTGGTCCAAATGTGGGTGCTGGGACATCACCTTGGATTCTCTATAAGAGCAGCACATGCTCTTACTGGCTGAGCCATCTCTCCAGCTCTTCAATTTGTTACTTGTTGATTTTAGGGACTAGATCTGGGAGTGGTTCTGAAGTATACAGACAGGCTTAAAAAAAAAAAAAAAAGGCAAGTTTGTGTGCATCTGAGTGTTTTGCCTGTATGTATGCTGCCTGGATATATGTGCCTGGTGCTTGAGGCAATCAGGAGAGGTCATGGAATCACTTTGAACTGGAGTTACAGATGGTTGTTAGCAGTCATTCGAGTGATGAGAATTGAACCCCAGTTGTCTGTAGGAACAGCCTGTGCTCTTAACCACTGAGCCATCTCCACATGGGCAAGTCTTTGAAAAGCACAAAGGGAACTACAGTGAATGAGAGAAAATAAAAGTGTTTCAGATGTGTTTGGTACCACTGAATGTGTGAGGTTTCAGGTTTTTGCCTTTTGTTTGGTTTTAAATATGGTACTTCTGCCTGAACCAAGTGGGCCACAGATTAACAAAGATTACGTAGGGATCCTAGCCAGGTGTGGTGGCACATGCCTTTAATCCCAGCACTAAGGCGGCAAAGGCAGGCTGATCTCTGTGAGTTACGGGCCAGACTGGTCTATAAAGTGAGATCCAGGACAGGCAAGGCTGTTACCCTGTCTCAAAAAACCAAAAAAGACAATGACGGGGGTGGGGTGGGGGGGTACATAGAACATTAATAAAAAGATTTAGAAATTTCTTGACAATTAAAAATATTTGTAACTACCTATTTTATGAAACTGAAGGGTTAAAGGCCTATATCTGTAAAATAACCTCAATGTGATGACTATTTTTACATGAAAACACTCCTATACCATCTCCTGCAATGCCCCAAGGAATACTTTTCTGACAGCACCCTCTTTCAAATGAGAAGCAGCCCTGGTTCTACAATAGTAGAAATGCTTCTCATCAAATAAATGCATATTACACTAGTTTTGCAATGCTTTGAGGGTTGCATATTACTGGTAAAAAAAAAAAAGATCATCTTTGAGTTGCACAAGCTATAATCCCCAACATCAGTAATAAAAAGTTTAAATATTCATAGAACAAGGCTAACAACACATGTTACCAGGCCCTAGTAAACAGTAAGAAATCTGGTCAAGATAAAGCTTTAACAATTCGTTCTAAATTTGCAATTTTAGTCTTCTTTTCATGGTGACTTGTGTTTTTCTGGCCTGTTTGACTTTAACTGCTTTCACAACACTACGGCCTTGTTGCCAGTTCAGCCTAAGGGATGGAGGGGGGAAAAATGTTCCCCTTTCTTGTGTTTAGTCAAGGCTTAAGCCTTATTCCCGGGAAGTCCCTGAGTTAAAGTGCCTCAGAAATAGAAAGTCACACAAAGATGCTTCGTCCATTAGGCCATCCCTGAGGCGGCTCCTTGGTCTATATGCCCAGCAGAGGCACAACACTCCACAGGAGAATGCCATGCTCAGATGGAGACACCAACTCTGCCAGCGAGTGCTATCTTACACAAGCTATCTCACCTACGGGGAGGTGAGGAGGGAACGGCCAGTGATTTCACGGTAGGAGAGGACGAGGAGAGGCGGTGCCAAGCGGCCGCTCCGTGCTTCCCCTCGAAGCAAGGTGGTTGGCGATCTGGATGAAACTTGCCCTCGGGCTGCAGGGAGGCGGCTCGTAGCCTGGGAGGCAGACTCGCGTGAGGAGGAGTGGCTCAAGAGCC